CACAAAGCGGCATCGTTTTGCCCAAACTACCAAGAAAAACCAGAGACCTCTAAGCAAAACTTAGGGCTGCCATGGGGTCAATTGACCCCTCTTGTCCCTTGGTGCATCCGCCCCTGTCCCCGACGGCTTAGATCCCGGCAGTACTGCGTTGAATTCGGGGTCTCCTGAATCGGGTAGCTCCGCAATTTCAATTTCCGGCGATGATAAGGGGGTTCCGATGTCTCCAGGTTTCTGAATTGTCCCTCATCAAATATCGATAATCTCGATAATATTGAGATATTATCACCGTTTCATGTTGAATTTGCTCGACAATATCGCTCGCGATATTTCGCCGATATTATCGACGATACTCTCGATATTATGACGAAAACATAATGGTTTGTTCCCAGTTTATCGCGACCTGAAAAAAACGAAATTATCGCCGAAATATCGGCGATAATTTCGATTTTTAATACATTGATTATAACCAACTGACCATGACACATTAGTTAGGTGTTGTTTCTCTGATAGCTGTTATGTATGGATTTCTGAAATGGTAGTGATATTTTGTAGTTGCCATCCTCGGAAATGGGAGAGGTGGTGGTGTGGTGACTGATTTAGGAAGGTGATTCTATTTCCTGCAAATTTACTTCGTATTTGTATACCTTCCCCATTTTTCAGGAAATTATTCTTTTATCCCTCATCAAATGGCTCTATTTTTTTTATTCGAACTTCAAAAAGCACTAGCCAGTTTTAGGTTATAGCCGCGCGGCTGTACTTTCAAAATATTCGAATATATTTAAATAGTATAGCCGCGCGGCGATACCTTTAAAATATTAATATATTTTTAAAGTATCTCATGAAAGCAGCAGCCTATTGAGAAAGTCTTAAAACTAGAAAAGCAACCTTAAGAAAGTCTGAAACATAAACTCCAACTTGACGATTGGTGCACATCAAACACCACAAAGCAAATGATTTAGAAAAAACCCACCGCATAACAAACTGACTCATATTTGCAGAAGGATGGGCAAGGGCATCCTTCTTCATTATGTATTGTATCTTCAGTTACAGACAACAAAACATTTCAATCATAAAAAATAAAGGTGAAAGCGATCTAAGCAATAAGGTCGATCTATGCAATCCTTGGGGTGATGAAAAAGCACTGATTTATTGTTTGCAAAATTCACCATTACATACTCCATAGTCATGCTAATGTCCAACAATATAGGAAACAACATCAAGATAAATGATAAAATATATTGAGTACACATTATTTATTTATTGTTTACGAAATACATACATTACAACCTCTTCCCCATTTTTCAGGAAATTTTTCTTTTATCCCTCATCAAATGGCTTTATTTTTTTTCTTCGAATTTCAAAAAGCACTAGCCAGTTTTAGGGTATAACCGCGCGGCTGTATTTATAAAATATTCAAATATATTTAAATAGTATAGCCGCGCGGCTATACGTTTAAAATATTAATATATTTTTAAAGTATCTTATGAAAGCAGCAGCCTATTGAGAAAGTCTTAAAACTAGAAAAGCAACCTTAAGAAAGTCTGAAACATAAACTCCAACTTGACGATTGGTGCACATCAAACACCACAAAGCAAATGATTTAGAAAAAACCCACCGCATAACAAACTGACTCATATTTGCAGAAGGATGGGCAAGGGCATCCTTCTTCATTATGTATTGTATCTTCAGTTACAGACAACAAAACATTTCAATCATAAAAAATAAAGGTGAAAGCGATCTAAGCAATAAGGTCGATCTATGCAATCCTTGGGGTGATGAAAAAGCACTGATTTATTGTTTGCAAAATTCACCATTATATACTCCATGGTCATGCTAATGTCCAACAATATAGGAAACAACGTCAAGATAAATGATAAAATATATTGAGTATCCTTTAACACACATTATTTATTTATTGTTTACGAAATACATACATTACAACCTTGAGTTGTGTACTATATAACCCTAGAGTATCCCATATGAACTAAAATTTTCACTATGTTACTTGTTGAAATGGAGTAATTTTTCAATGTAACGGTCATAGTGCCACATGATGTTATTAATTCATTCATATTATAACACACTTGAATCGGTAACATCACATGACGATGTAACTCACACATTATAATTCCACAATATCGTGTGTTTTCTTTATAATTTTAAAATAGCAAAAAAAAAAATTGTCAATTTTGTTTGCATACATATATACATTTACACAAGTTGCAGCAGCCTATTGAGAAAGTCTTAAAACTAGAAAAGCAACCTTAAGAAAGTCTTAAACATAAACTCCAACTTGACGATTGGTGGACATCAAACACCACAAAGCAAATGATTTCGAAAAAACCCACCGCATAACAAACTGACTCATATTTGTAGAAGGATGGGCAAAGTCATCGTTCTTCATTATCTATTGTATCTTCAGTTACAGACAACAAAGCATTTCAATCATACAAAATAAAGGTGAAAGCGATATAAGCAATAAGGTTGCTCTTTTTTTGTGTGTAAGCAATAAGGTCGCTCTATGCAATCCTTGGGGTGATGAAAAAGCACTGATTTATTGTTTGCAAAATTCACCATTATATACTCCATGGTCATGCTAATGTCCAACAATATAGGAAACAACGTCAAGATAAATGATAAAATATATTGAGTATCCTTTAACACACATTATTTATTTATTGTTTACGAAATACATACATTACAACCTTGAGTTGTGTACTATATAACCCGAGAGTATCCCATATGAACTAAAATTTTCACTATGTTACTTATTGAAATGGAGTAATTTTTCGATATAACAGTCATAGTGCCGCATGATGCTACTAATTCATTCATATTATAACACACTTGAATTGGTAACATCACGTAACGATGTAACTCACACATTATAATTGCACAATATCGTGTGTTTTCTTTATAATTTTAAAATATGAATCTACAAAGGTGTTATGCACTGAAGAATGTGATAAATCCGAGGTAGAACACACGTCAGTGGATCTGTGAGATGGCAATTTATCAGAAATGTCAGCCGAAACTGAAGCTACAGCAAGAGCAGTAGCCGCAACCAGAGACAAGGAAGCCATGTCGGAAACGCAACCCAAAATCTCTCATGCCAATATCAAGCAACCCCCATACAACAATATGTAATAAGCCGAGCAACCAAATTTGGTGAAGACCCATAAAGCAATTTGGTTGCACATCAACTTGTTTCACAATTCAATATATATGTTTTTGTCATTTTATATTTATGTAAATTAGTAAGTCAAACTATTTTGTCATTTTATATTTATGTAAATTAGTAAGTCAATAAATAGTTTGATAGTATTGTATATTCAGTTAATTTTAGAATTCGTTTAACATCATCCTTTTTTTCATCAATCGTTTTTAATTACAACTAGTAAACATAATATGCATATGTAAGTCAGAGGAAGTTATTGCATGGAGAATATATGTGTATTTTTAAATTACTAACACAAACTTAATTTATACATATTATTCAAATTATTTAACCTTTTTTTTAATACAAGTAAGATTTTATTTTTAATTAATTTAAATTATGAGGAGGGGGATTTGAACTCTGATGCACATCTACTATAGCCAACTTGATTAAGCCTATGTTTGCTCAACTTATTTAACTCAAAATGTAGCATGACTGGTAGAGTGGAGCAATTACCCTCCCCCCTCCCAATGAAAAGTCCTAGATTCGAGTCATAACATATGTGTAGTATGTGTAAGTTTAGTATACTATCGTCTCTCTCAATAAAAAATGTCCCAAAAAAAAGTTAGCATGATTGACATTTCACCCTATTATAAAATAATTCTCTAAAATAATAGTACAGAAATATAGATTAAAGAAAAAACATAATGTAATAGAATAAGAGAGAGAGGGAGGCAACCGAGAGAAGAAAGAGAAAAAACAATTAAAAAAAAGAAAGGATGGGAACGGGTACACGTGTCTAGCAAGTGCTGTGAGAATCGCTTTTGAGCGATTGTGAATAGCATTCTCTTATCAGAAATGTCAGCCGAAACTGAAGCTACAGCAAGAGCAGCAGCCGCAACCAGAGACAAGGAAGCCATGTTGGAAACGCAACCCAAAATCTCTCATGCCAATATCAAGCAACCCCCATACAACAATATATAATAAGCCGAGCAACCAAATTTGGTGAAGAGACCCATAAGCAATTTGGTTGCACATCAACTTGTTTCACAATTCAATATATATTTTTTTGGTCATTTTATATTTGTGTAAATTAGTAAGTCAATAAATAGTCTGATAGTATTGTATATTCAATTAATTTTAGAATTCGTTTAACATCATCCTTTTTTTCATCAATCGTTTTTAGTTACAACTAGTAAACATAATATGCATATGTAAGTCAGAGGAAGTTATTGCATGGAGAATATATGTGTATGTTTAAATTACTAACACAAACTTAATTTATACATATTATTCAACTTATTTAACCTATTTTTAATACAAGTAATATTTTATTTTTAACTAATCTAAATTATGAGGAGGGGGATTTGAACTCTGGTGCATAGTGAGGAGCACATCTACTATAACCAACTTAATTAAGCCTATGTTTGCTCAACTTATTTAACTCAAAATGTAGCATGACTGGTAGAGTGGAGCAATTACCCTCCCCCCTCCCAATGAAAAGTCCTAGATTCGAGTCATAACATATGTGTAGTATGTGTAAGTTTAGTATACTATCGTCTCTCTCAATAAAAAATGTCCCAAAAAAAAGTTAGCATGATTGACATTTCACCCTATTATAAAATAATTCTCTAAAATAATAGTACAGAAATATAGATTAAAGAAAAAACATAATGAATAAGCCCAACGTTAAGTTAGCCCAACTCGAACTATAGTAGATCCATTCTCTAATCTTAAAAGCCAATTCCCGGGAGGACTCTCGACGTTACCAACGGCCCAAAATAAAAACGAAAACGCAGCGTTCCAGCGTCCATTTTCTCCCCTCCTCTCTCCTTGCAGTCTACGACGCCGTTCAAGATAAACCCCCTTCCCTACATAATATATATTATTCTTCAAAGAAACCCTAGCAGGCACCTCCATTTCACTCCTTGTTAGCCGCTCCTCAGAAACCCTAGGCGGACAAAGAGACAAAGACTCATGACGACGAGGTTCAAGAAGAATCGCAAGAAGCGTGGCCACGTCAGTGCCGGGCATGGGCGTATCGGCAAGCACCGAAAGCATCCAGGCGGTCGCGGAAACGCCGGAGGTATGCACCACCATCGGATCCTCTTTGACAAGTACCATCCAGGGTATTTTGGTAAAGTGGGTATGAGGTACTTCCACAGGCTGCGCAACAAGTTCCACTGCCCCATCGTCAACCTCGACAAGCTGTGGTCACTTGTACCCCAGGATGTGAAGGACAAGGCCGCCAAAGGAAACGAGGCCCCATTGCTCGACGTCACCCAGTTCGGCTACTTCAAGGTGTTGGGTAAGGGCGTGTTGCCTAGCTCTCAGCCGTTGGTTGTGAAGGCCAAGCTGATTTCTAAGACCGCCGAGAAGAAGATCAAGGAGGCTGGTGGAGCCGTGGTGCTCACCGCTTAGGTTCTCATCCATTTTGATTTTCTAATCATTTTAAAGCATTTCCATTATCTTATAATTTGCTACTTTTATTATTACTGAGATATGTTATTAGACTCTATGTTTATTAGATGTTTTTGTTTACTTATGCCAACAAAAAACTGAAATGGATTTTGTGGACCGTTGCTCATTTTTATATGTCAATCAGTTGCTCAATTTGAATTTGTTCGTTTTGATTCTGTGTTTGCTTGCTGGGATTTAGTTATAAATGAAAATGGAATGATTGATAGCTTCAGAAATTGGGTACATTTTGGCAATGTGTTCAATCTGAACCTGGTCTGCTTAAGGGGCTTTCTATATAAGCTATTGTGGGAGCGGCTTTAACAGTAGTTGGTGTCTGATTGGCTTGTGCTTGCTGGCAAATCGAGGACATTGTTATACTGTAGCAAACTTCTACTATTGCTCTTAAAGTGCTTTTGGATGAGGGAGATGACTTATGGTCACAGGTGATTTTTCTTTCTGAAGAATTGGATAGGACTGAGTTTTGTTTGGGATTTTTTGTTTGTTTGTTTAGGTAGCTAATAAAAGGCAAGATTAGTTCTTTTCTCCTTGCATTCTGATGTCCTGTTAAGATTATTTTGCTTGATCATTTATTCTCGCATCGATGTCATCGTGATCACTGCATTATGGATATGCCCTGAACTGAACCCATTGAGAATGTGCTGCAAAGTTTAATTGACCTGGTCTGTGACTCTCGAGTGAATTACTGCCGCTCTTCTCCGGGCAGTATTTGGAAGGTTGAATTGGTTTGGTCACGAGGGAAGAGCCAAAAACACTTGTTAAGGTCGCAGCATGGGATCAAATTCAGGAGTAGTTTGGCTAACTCTTTCCATGAGTTGTGATCAATTCCTTAACGAGAAGCTGCAGAAAGCAAAACTACCCCAAATTTTGATTGCATCAGTGGCATATGACCGCAGTTCAGTTTGGCAATGGAAATAGGCATTATAACATGGGAGAGAAAGGAGAAAGAGATGATGAGGCCAGATGAAACAATGAGAATGGGTATATAGAAGAAACAATTAAAACCGAATTAACTCCAACCAGCAAATTGCTATCTTGTTTTGTTTTTTATGATAGCAAAATTCAAATGCCTAATAAAAGAAATGAAAACAGTAACAATTATCGCTTACTTGGGATTTAAAAAAAAACCCTAGTTATAGGCAAAACAATCAATCAAATGATTGTTTTTTATTGAATATTGAGTGATGAATTTTTGACTGTCGAAGTAAAATTTAAATAATTTTAACTCTTTGACAATTTTTCAATGAAAATGACCTTATGGGTTGGATTCTTTACTCGACTCATGCATGATACATGATGTTTAGCAAACTTGAGTCACAAAAGAAAAGTGGATGATAAAAACCCCAAAGACAGGAAAAATAATGCGGTGACGGCCCAATTTAGACAAAATCAAAGCACATAGCCCCCTGTGCATACATATAAACGGCTTGACCCAATAAAAAAGCCCAAAGCCCGAAGCAACAACAGGTCTTCAAGTCCACCGGGATCTTGTCGTCTCTGAGCTTCAGCCTTCAGCTCAGCTCTTCGTCTTCGCTCGAAAATGGAGTCTGACTGACCGACTGACTGTCTAAGAAACCGTCACTTGCCCTAATAAGAGAAATAACTCATACGAAGCAAAGCGCCTTTGGATTTGAAATCCATTCCGAGCCAAGAATGGTAGCTGAGAAGGAGAGCGAGAGCGTGACACCCGCTATACCTAGAGCTCGACCTAAACCTAGACCAATTGTACAGTTGGGGATCTTCCTCATCTCTCACAGCCTCCTCTTCAGGTATTCTTCACTTTTCCCTCTATCTCATATTTAGTATTTCTTTAAATTCCATAAAATATCAATAACTCTTCACCACAATCCCATCCTGCCATCAGTAAGCACAGATTAGTGATAGATTGGCCGTCGTTTTTCTCTTTTTGCAGTGTCGTTTTCTCCACAGCTGGGGTTCTGGCTCTTTTGCTGCTTCCGGTTCTCGCCAAGAACACCTACATCTCCGAGAATGCCCTTATGCCAGGTCAGCTCTCCATCTTCAATCTCTCTCTGCTTCTGATTCATTCACCTTTGTTTGTGTTATTTGTTCAATTATTAACATGGTTGTGTTGCTGCGGGTGCAATTGCTTACTTATCAGGCTCTGTGGCTCCTATGCTCTCCAATCAGGAGGTTGCAGAGGCTAATAGATTGGTCAAGGATTTGACTTCATTGAATTCCAAGCCTCTCGCTTCGGCAATGTATGCCCTTCTTCTTCGAATTTCAGCTGACTCTTTTGTTTTTTCCTCCCAACTCTGGTCTATAGACAATGCTATTTCTGCATTTAAATTATCAACTTTGAAGATAGTATGAACTACACAGCTTGGCTCATTTTTACTCGCGTTTGTGCCTCTAATTAAACTGATATTTGTCAAAGTTTTATGATAACATTCTCTGTTGCAGAGGAAGTCAAAGACTCATATCACAGTACATGTCAAACTTGGGCGCTGAAGTTAGTCATCATAAGTTCCACTCTCAATTAAATCAGTTTCACCCTCTGCACTTCTTTTCTAGCCCTGATTCTGGAAGAGTTGAGCAGAACATCAGTTGTGCATTGCTTGGTGTCAACACTGTTGGAATTATCAGAGCACCGCGTGGTGATGGGAAAGAAGCTATTGTCTTGGTTACACCTTTCAATTCAGTGAAACTTAACCAGAATGAGGCCTTATCCTTGGCCATTGCATACTCCGTGTTTTCCTTGCTCACTAGAGTTCCTTGGCTGGCCAAGGATGTTATATGGCTCGTTGCAGATTCCCAATTTGGAGAGTATTCTGGAGTTGCTGCTTGGCTAAGAGACTATCACACACCTGTATTTAGTGGACTGGGCACGCTAGATGCAGAAATGTGTCCGGAAAGCAATAATATTTATGGACTGAATGAGAACCTTTTTACAGAAAGGACGATTTATGATGGATTTAAACGCGCTGGGACAATGGCTGCAGCCCTTGTCATTAAGGTTGCAGATCGAAGTGAACAATATGAGGATAGTCTTAGCATCTATGCTGAAGCATCCAACGGGCAGATGCCAAATCTTGACCTCATCAATATTGTGAATTATTTAGCAGTGCATAGGCAAGGTTTGCGGGTGAAGGTGGAGAAATTTTGGCCTTTTCTTGGCTTGAAGTGGCTCAAGACTTTGGGTGAAATATTTGAATCACTAGGACATTTGGCTAGAAGTGTAAATCCCCAATGGAAATTTGGTATCCCAGCTGCAGATTATATTGAGGGCAGTGCTACACTCGCAAGTTCATTGTACCACCAGGTGGGTCTACTTTTCTTTGTGTTGCCTCAAATGTCTTTGTTTACAGTTTGATGAACAAGGATATAAGACAATTTGTGTTTTCCCACTAATCTATGTCAACAATGGTATGTTTACTTATATACCGATTCTTCCTGATGTCAGGCTTTGGGTGTCCCCACTGGCCCCCATGGTGCCTTTCGTGATTACCAAGTTGATGCAATTACTTTGGAAATTTTTCCCAAAGTTTCTTCTTTGGATAACAAAGTCAGGCAAAATGATTTTCTTCTACGAAGTGGCCGGTAAGTGCTGAGTCATATCTCTTCCCATGAAAATTTGTTAATCTGCCTTTCCAGTTAACATCTACAATCTAGAAATCTTGGTATCTAGGTGAAGATTTCATAATGAATACTTGCCATTGGTGAATTGTTTTTTGGAGGTCATAGTTGTCTGTAACCTTTCTACCGTACTGACTGTGTTCCTTTCCTTTACTTTTCTTTTTGGTTTGGGGAGTGAAGGCTTAGTTATATTTCATTGTGAGAAAAGGGAATGTGGAAAATATATAAAGCTGTTAACTTTTTCTTAATAGGTGGATAATCTGCATTTTCACTTTCACTTGGTGCATTTAAATGTATTTAAGGTAGTATATAGGTTGTATTATTTGCTATGATCTCCCTAATTTAGTTTGTTCTATTGTACTCTTTTGTTATATCTTTCTCCACTCCAGTCATATCATGATTTGTTATTTTACTTGTCTTTGTGTCATGATTTGTTATTTTACTTGTCTTTGTATCCATGATAAGCAATCAGATGAAAAATTCCTTATATTGTGTCAATCTGGATTCGGTTTTCTTGTTATTTGTGCAGATTAATTGAAGGAGTCATACGGTCAGTAAACAACCTCCTAGAGAAGTTTCACCAGTCCTTTTTCCTGTACCTATTAACGTCTCCCGGTAAATTTGTGTCAGTGGGAGTTTACATGATTGCTTTTGCACTTCTAGTTGCACCACTTCCAATGGTGGCAGCTTCTCTCTATGTTGATGCCAGTAACTCCGATTATAGTCTAAAAATAGACAAACCTGCTCCTTTGGGCAATGCTTCTGATGAACCTTGCATCACTCTCAAATCATGGAAATGGCTTTTTGCAGCGAAGAAAGTTTTTTTTGTGCACTTGTGGGGCTCTGTTGTTTCATTACTCCCGTATTTCATCTGTCAAATACCCAGTTGCACTCCAACAACCAGCTTTCTTATCTGGGTTTTCCTTTCAATACTCAGCCTTGTGGTCATGTACATTGTCTTGGCTTCTCCATCCTCTCATGCCAATGAATCTCAACTGCAAAGAGGAGAATGGGCTATCTTGAAATCAGTAACTCTGTCAGCTGCCTTCATTGGTTTGTGTCTCATGTCAGTCATTAACTTTGCTACGGCAGAAATTGGGGGGTTATTGATGGTCCCAATGTGCTTGATGGCTCATCCTTTAAAGCTGGATGTTAAAGCTAGGAGCATCAGAACAGTTTCGAGGGTGGTTTATAATCTTGTTCTGGGGTTTATTGGGTTCCCACCAGTTGCTTTTATAGTGTTGAAAGGTGCATTCGAGGGTTTCAGCGGCGTTAATGTCGGCGACTTCTGGTCTTGGGTGGAGTCCCTATGGGCTTGGAATAGTGCTACTTACCTCTATATCGGTATGGTTCACCTGCCATGCTGGGTTTTGTGTATTCATATTTTGTTTCATCGTTGCTAACATGTTGTAAACAATTATCAGATAAATTAGTGATTGGTTTAGACCTGCTGAAAATCAGAAAATGAACAGAACTTCTCTCTCTATGATATGTCTAATGACTCTAACCTGGTGCCTGTTGATGTTGGCTGATGGTCCCATCAGAATAATTTCTTTTTGTTCTGGATTGTCAAAGCAGATGCTAGAAATTAATTAAGGACCATATTCCACACTCGCACAAAAGGTAAGGGAGGAATTTAGGCCATAGAATAGAATAAAGATGGCTGTGATTCAAAATTCGTACCGCATACAGGTGGTTATGGTGTTTTCTTCTTTTTTCAACTGATTGGTAAAGTATCACTTTATATAAATATATAGGATGTGTGTGCATATTTTTACGAGACATATGGTTGTGGTGCTCAAGCATCGTATGGTATGATGGTACATAAAATAAAACTTGTAGATAGATAGCTTCCAATTCCATGACCGAAATTTGTCATAAACCTGTACCCAAAGCCGCTAGATGACGAATATACCCGAGCTTGTTCATGTTTGATAACCATTTCAATTTTAGTTTCTAGTTTTTAGTTTTTATTTTTTTGTGCTAGAATATTGAGGAAAAAGAGGGAGGAAAAAAGTGAGAATAAGGGTGAAAATGAAATTGAGAGGGGGATGAGAGGAATGAGTAACAAAAGTGCAAATAAAATTAAAAACTGAAATTTATTTGAAATTGTTTTTACTTTTGTTGTTCCTCTCTCCCATCATCCCCTCTAATCCTCTCTCTTAATCTTATCCTCACTCCTCTATACTTTAGTATAAAAAGTGAAAATTAAAAATTGAAATTGAAATTGAAATTGTTATTAAACGGGCCCAAATAAAATGAAATACAAATGCTTACGAGGTTGTAAAAAAAATATATTCTTTGTCCTCTAATTATTTTTTCCTTTCAGTAATTACTTCGTTCCTTATAAATATTGGCCTTTTGGTTATGGAAATGAATTGAAATAAAATGAATTAGGGTTTTAGGGTTTGGGCTATTGGTTATGGAAATGAAATGAATTTGCTCTTTGGGCATGTCATATCATCTCTTTTCTTGCCTTATATGCCTTTCCTTTTCGGTGATGAATTTGCTTGGGACCCGGACAATCATAAAAGTATAGAAAGGTGAGACGGCCGTGAGCGGTTGGATGATGTATCAATCTATCATCTTATTGGTTAATTTAATAGGTCCCCAGTCCTTCCCACATATGACTACACGTCTTGTAGCGCGTGGCGTGGGAGTGAATGACATAAAACCCCGCTTTCAGTGTGACTTGTACGCACTCGAAACTTGGAACTGCACCTAAAGCAAACTCCTTCATCTAATAAATAATATTAAACCGCCATTTCATTTTCCTTAAACCAAAACAAAGCAAAACAGAGCACACTCAGCATGACGTCACAAAACTCGGTTTGAAGCCCAGGCAAAACCTGCCCTTGGGCTTGCCCGGGCTGGTGGGACCCACGCCAAACCAGGCTGCAGGCTGCAGCGCTGGAGCTGCTTGGGCTTGCAAGGGGGGCCTTTTGCCCGGTTCTTCTCCTGCGCTGGAGATGCTCTTAAACCAAAACAAAGCAAAACAGAGCACACCAAAGCAAAAAAGCAAGCAATAGTCAAATTGAGAAGGCCTCTAGAATTAGAAAGACAATTCCTTTTGTTTTGTATTTGGTAGGTGGTGGTGCGAAATCCAAAGTTCCAAACAAAGAACCAGAAAAGAAGAACCAATTTGATGAAGAAGAAGAAGAAGAATTGAGCCTCAGCCACCGCACACACGCACAAACACAGAGAGAGAGAGAGAGAGAGATGGATAAGTTGCTATGTGATGAACTTGTACAAGAAATCTTCCAAAGACTTCCACCCTCAACATCCTCTTCAGTTTCTCTTGTCTCCAAGCGCTGGCTTTACCTCTACCGAACCTCCAAAACCTCCCTCTCTCTCCGCCTTACCCCTCATGATTACACCATCCCTTCTCTCTCCTCCCTTCTCTCTCACTACCCTTTCCTTTCTTCTCTCTCTCTTCTCTTAGCTCCTGACCCCACCACCACAAAATCAACCACTTTTGCTGATCATCTCCTTCTCTTAGTCTCTTCCTTTTGTCCCCAGCTTCACAGCCTGAGGTTTTTGGCTGGTCCTGTCTCCCTCTCCTCTCTCACTTCTCTCTCTGCAGCATGTACCCAACTCACCTATCTGTGTATCAATCTCTCCAGGCCTCTGTTCCTCGTGTGGATTCTCAATTTCCCTTCTTTGAAGGAACTGTCAATCTTGGTTTGCTGTGGGGAAGGTCTTGAACAAGCTGTTGATGGCAATACGGAATATGGGTTCTGTGCAGACGACGATTCTGATGCAGAGTTGGGTTTGGAAAGTCTTTGTTTATCTGGAATTGGAGCTGATGATTGGGGCTTGGGTTGGCTTTGGAGAAGCTGTCGAAAGCTGAAGAAATTGCAGTTTAGGAGCTGTGAAGGGATTGGTGATGGAGGGTCTTTTTCGTCCTTTGTTAGGTGTTTACAGGGTGTTCAAGAAGTGGAGCTCAGGACTTGTAGGACTATAATTGATGGGGTACTGGTGAAATTGGCCGAGAATTGCGATTCTCTGACTTCTCTTTTGGTTTATGATGGTGGTAGCAGAGAGGGTCTGCTTAGGTTTTTTAGCCAAAGCCGTTGTAACTTGCAAAAACTCGACCTTCGATTACCTCTTGACCTTAAAAATGATCATCTATTGGCTGTCACAATGAATTTCAGAAGCCTTTCAAGTCTTAAACTTCAAAGCTGCTGTCTTGTCAGTGGTGAAGGCCTCAGGGCTCTTGGGGCCGCCTTGAGTTCTGGCCTTGAAGAATTGGCTCTAGTAAATTGTGATGTGGTTGAAAGAGAACCAGGGTTGTTGTCCACATTAGGACAGAATTTCAGGCAACTGAGGAAATTGGATTTGTCTTATAATGAAATGTTGGTGGACAAAGAGCTCGCATCAATGCTAGTTTCATGTAACTATTTGGTTGATTTGAGGTTGAGAGGATGTAAAGGGCTTACTAATGCAGCCATGGTTTCTGTGTTTAAGAGCTGCAAGTATTTGGAGAATGTTGATATCATTCGCTGTTGTGGGATACAAGCTGAGGCAATTGAGTTTTTTGTTATGAACTCTCCTCAGCTGAGACAGGTGCAGGTCGAGCAAAGCAAGATATCGGATGCCGCAAAGACTTGGGCCTCACATAAGTTCATTGAGGCTGTTGCTTGATTCGGTGAAGCTACTAATGTATATTTATGTTAATAAAATGTTTCAAATGAAACAGGTATTTATCACACTGCTTGTTCTGTTTTAATTTGTGAATGGTTGTTGTCTGGAAATGTATGGACAGAAAGAGCAGCTTATGCTTTCTCTGAATAATGATACTTTGTGTACACGAATGTTGATGTATTTATAAACAATAAGATTATTGCATCAGTTACGTGTAATGTTTTTCTTCTCTATTTCAATGAGAAAGGCATAACTCTTTTGATGCAGAGTGTGTTGCTTTTGCTTCTTCTTTGGTACACTGGAAATGAAAGAACTACCAATCCCTTTGAATTGGCTTCATACTTTATTGTCCTGCTGCACATACACCTTAAATTGTGGACTGATTATGAGTGTCCTGTTTCTGTTTTTCTTTTTAACTTTTCTTTCCTGACTGATCCATACATTTTCTGTGAGAACGCTTTTTATTTCTAGCGATATTTCACACGGGGATGAATACAAAAGGGCATCTCTATTAGCTTTCCTGTGTAAGTCCAAAGGAACTGCAGGTAAGTTATCCAGTTTGTTTAGAGCCAAGTCAGTCGAAACAATATGCACAAGTGTTCCTGGGTTGTTGGAGCACGACACGTTTCTTGGTTGTGTAGTTAAGGAAATGTTGCTCAGGCTATATAAAGATTTTGGAGTTGTCTTAAGCACATATATACTTTTGTTTGGACTTGAAAGATTGGTGAAGAGTGGATAAAACATGCCTCAAAGTTTATCCTTTCAATTCAAGGTTAATTCATATCTGGCTCTCATGCTAGTTAGGAGTTGTTAGAGAAACCCCTTGCTGTCAGCTTCCTTAGAACATTTCAAAATGCATAATCGAGCATCGATTTTTGAAGTCTTGTAGAAGGATCTTCAGAAGACAAAGCTCATCTTTGTGATCTGCTACTGCTAAGTCTTGGCCAGCATCATTCAAGAAGAGATTTTGAGGCAACTTTTGATGTTCTGTACCAAATAGAACAAATGAACAGTCCTGATAATTTAGCTTTGGGCTTTCTACTACGAAATATGAACTTCTGTTTTTGGGTGGTTCCATCTATCTCCCTTAGATTTAGAATGTTGGTTGGACAGTTGGTTGGTTGATTCTATGTGGGAGCATCTAAAGATGCAAAGTCGTTCCCATTTGGTTGTTCTCTTACTTAGTTGGTGGGATGGATTCTGAATCTCAACCTCCTCCTCCACCTGCCCTTCCAGAATTTAAAAAGCCAGAGTTGTGTACTTGTTACTTAACTGTAAATAATTGATTGTCATTTTCTGGAAGTTTAAGGTTTAATCATGTTACTATATATGTAAGTTAACCTTTTAAGTGCTTTATAATTCCAAATTAGAGGCTCTCTAAAACCGTTAAGCGAAATGGAGAAGTAATTTTCATCTTGATTCGTAAGAAATGCAAATTATGGCATCTCTGTCATTAGGTTAGGTTAGGTTGTGCAAGTTACAGCTTACAACAACGCCTTCACCTTAAATTTGTCATAATATTTACCAAATGAGATTTACTGCTTCTGTAAAAATGAGTTACTGTGCCAGCCAACAATAGTTGCTTTTGGTTTGGCAGAGCCCGTGAAATTTGAATGGTAGGTTAGCCAGTGGCCATTGTGTCTTTTTCCACAGCTTCAATTAATCAAATATCATATATCTTTATTCTGGCCTATTAATTATCTTTTAAATATTGTAGCATCTTTTTTGACAAAGCGATATTCTAAACTACTCTAATGTAAGAGGAAATGAATCGAACTCAAGTGCAAATGGGCATACACACTACCTCGCCCCTAACGCACATCTGTAAATAAAATATTGTAGCTCCTTAATTGGCCAATAACACCTTTGTTTTGGGAATATTATATAAATTTCTGAAATTTCTTGTGCTCTCAAAATTGTGGTCAGTTTGAGCTGGTCCAACCACTCTCCAACTAGGTCTTTAACGAAGCCCATAAGGCTTAAGCCTACCTCATAAATAAAAAAGCAAAAGAAAAAGAAGGCCTTTTGTTTGGGCTCATCTTATGTCAACTCCAGAGTCCAGAACAAAACGCACAGCTTCAGGTCAGGTTCCCAAATGCTAACATGCGATGGTGTTGGTCGAGTCGAGTGCATTGGATTCAAATATGAAAATTTTCCAATTATCATTTTTAAGGCCGGTTTTTTTAGTCCCATTTTTTTAAGGCTGGTTTTGATAACAATTTTTTTTATTTTTTATTTTAAAAATAAAACAGATACCATGCCATGGTATAAATTCATATTTAAAATGGTGATTAATACAATAAAAAAAGAAAAAAAAAAGAGGTACTTAATGACATTTAATAAAATAGGAAAAAGACATTTCAACCTTATCAAATTAAAAGAGATAACATGACAATGTCTATGATATAAGTATTAGAATCTTATGTTGCTTTTCATCCATTGTATCATGGGGCGGCCCACTTCAGGCTTATTTTTGAACGGTCAGAAATAGGAATCAGTGGAATCCAGCGGTGCAAATTAGTCCACGTCAATGCGTCTAGGGAAAATGCTCTGAAAAAATGGTGCGAGAGAGAGAGGAGGAGCTTAGAATAGATACATAGAAAAAGTATTAGCCGTCACGGCTCACTTTTCGCGGGGCAACAATTTTCTTTTGGCGCGAAACGAATAAATCCAAAATTCGTGACTTGAGGGCAAAGTTCCCGCCAAAAGTATCGGGCAGGTCGGGCAGGCAGCAAAAGTGGGTTGGGTCTGCCGGGACATCGGGGTGGGCATGGAAGGGCTGAAACCGCGTAAAAACAAAAGTCAGCTTGTGAGGGCCAAAGAAGGTCAAGGGGAACGAAATTCGATAAAATTAAAAAAAGAAAAACAAATTAAATTTATTTATTTATTTGTAAATGTGGGAAGGAAGGTTTTAACGTTATTATTCGCAACATTTAGATTAGAATCTTGATAGTCTTAGGATTCCTTGGGAGGCCATGTGTATGTGTCTACCGCCTTTCCTTCATCCGTCCATTGGATTCCTTTCTTGCTTCAATTCTTTACCCAAATATCTAATCTTTCTCATTTAATAGTACACCAACTCTAACCCTATCCCACCCTACCCCTAAGCTCATTTATACCCCTTTCTCTTCTGTCGGAGAATTTGCGAGTCATCGATTGTTGGTATACAACAATAATATGTCTATTTTTCTCGTCACATCACGTTATAATAGGTGTAAACTCGTTATATACAAATGGTGACACGCAAAATTTCTTACATGTATTTTTTATACACTAATATAACGTTCATTGAAACTACTATGTCCATATAGTAGACTGAGGAATTACAAAATTATAATATACGGTACTGATCAGTGCTATGCATCACTAACTAACTACCATGCATTTTGTGTGTGGGTATATTTTGGTTCATTTTGTCTCTCATTAAGGCATACATGCATGGATTGCTACTTTGAGGGAGAGTAATTAATGAATTTGGTTAACAAACTTGTTAATTACCAAGAAGCATATGGTCACTTACAATAATTAATTATATTAGTGATCATAATGAGAAATAGTCTAGTCTAGCTTGGGGTGGGAAGACTTGAAAGGGAGATATTTTTACTCACCACTTTAACTTAATGTGCACTCTTACTATCCTTTTCAACACTTGACACGTGTTAATTGTCATAACCATAGTTAATTCTTTACTTTGTATTTATAGAATCATGGTTATGTCAATAGACACATGTCAAATGTTGAGAAGGGTGATGAGAATATACCTTAGATTAAAGTGGTGAACAAAAATGCTCCCGACTTGAAAGTAGGATTTGAATGATGAATCAGATCATATCCTTAATCAGTTCAATTGAAAAGGGTCAATTCACTTTAATCAGTTCAATTGAAATATGCAACTCTTATTGTCTTGTTCAAAAGAGACGAGAGACGACTGTATTTTGATACTCACACAGAGACAGAAAATCAAAGGAATTGGCTAGCCGTTAAGGACATGCTTAGAGCTTTTTCCATGAGGACAAGCACAAGTCCATTTCGTAAGGCTTAGGCACCCCTGGTTGCTTTGGTTAAAAACAAACATGATCCAATTTTTTAACATTTTTCATCTCAGATTTGCCAATTGCCGTTTGAAAAGGATTGTTTTTGCTTTGGTGCTATCAGCTATGCTACCAGAGGAAACGACGACAAGGACTGTTTTTCTGTGAGATTGTGACCAGTGTCGGTTACAACAAGCAACTTAGATATTGATGAAGTGAATTAGATTTAGAACATGCTGATCAGATGCTAACCAAGGCTTAATGGTGGATTAGAATTTTATTGATTTCGGCTTAGACAATATGTTATGTTCTCACTTCTTCTTCCATTTAAAATGGTGGTGAAATTTTGACAGGTATTACAAACTTCAACTACCCCAAAACCCCATATGGAAATATTCTGTAGAATATGCAATCAAGTATTGTAATCTTTATAAAATCCAATAGAAAATAGAGCCAAAGAAAAAAGAGGGAGAGAGAGAGAGAGAGAGAGGAAACAAGAGGAAAGTCAAAATTAACAATCTGAATTCTCTGATTAGAAAACACTAAAGATAATCTACTGCATGTGGCATCCAATCCAAGTCTAACCAAACCACAAAGAGGGTGGATGTTACTGTTGCTTATCCAATCCAAATTTACTATCATCACTTTGCTGTGCACTTTCTCTCTTTAAAGCCAAAAAAAAAAACCAAAACCCTAATAAAGGATCCTAATCCCTAGAATCCCTTTGTTTAATATGCATTATGAATGAGAACCCTAGATTAGATAAAGAAACAAATCCCTTGATCATGCAAAACATATCCTCTCCACTCCATTAAAAAAGAAAGAATAAGAAAGAAGTTTGGTGTTTGTTTGGTGCATGATAAACATGCCCAAATCTTATCCACAAACAGTACATCAAATTGGCAATAACAGAGGCACCACATTGACAATTTGTTTTTGTCATCAAGTGCTAAAAACGTTTAACTTGAAGGTGTACCAAACAAGCCCTCCAACCCCACATAGGATTCTAATCTATCTACTTCTTATATTGTAGTTTGCTTTGTCTTTGAACAATGAAAGAAGCATTACAAGGAACTTGGCTTGGCTTTGCCAAAGAGTTCCAGGGTGAGGTGGGGACATGTGAGTGGGGCATGTAGGAAGATTAAAGAGGGCTTGGCAGAGCATGGAATTAAAAAGGTACTTGATAAGAGATGAGAGATGAGAGCTAAATATGACTCTAAGGTGTTTGTCAAATTGTCGTCAAATTGTCACAGTCAGTCAATTGTGAAGCATCCGTGCAGCATCTTCTCATCTCAGGCATGAAAAAGATTTACTTTTACATGTCTTGGCCTAACTTTTTCTTTGGGTTTTTAGCTACTTAGCTGGCTAGAACCTATGCATACAGTACACGTGTGTTCGTGCACTGGAGAAGAGTTGATGAGTTGATGACTAAGTGAGGAGGAGGAAGACATTGGAGGCAGAGGCAGATGCAGAGGCTGGCTCTCAGTCTAAATATCTCTGCTGAAATGCCAATCATTCATTTGTTTCTCTTTCTGGGGAGAGAAGGAGGAGCTCAGAATCAGAAGAGAGAGAGAGAGAGAGAGAGATAAGTTAAGGCACTCTGTCACCGCCACTTGTTTCAGCAGCAGCTTTACAAAATTCCGCATCCATGTAAACCAGTGATAGAGGTCACCACTCTACTTGTGCCAGGCTGCCAACTATGTTCAACAATCACATAAAGTACGGTGACATCAAAACAGTGAAGGAATATTATTAACCTCACAATTACAGCCCATCAATTTATTTGAAGAAAGTGGATAATACAGCCTCAGCAGTATCTCTCCTTTTATGATGTTCTCTCTCTAGTAATGAGAGTAAGTGTTAGATTATGAAGTAATTCTTTTTCCTTTCCTACAAGCACATTACTAATATCAAGTTCACAACTTGCAAAGATATGCAAACTCTCGTGGTTACCGAAAACAAGATATGTTAAAAAAAAAATCTTTGGTTAAGGAAAACCTTGACCTAAACTGGAAGATTCATTACATAAATAATTTATCTTTATACAGAAAGTTTCTGTATCTGCCATGCTTGCCTTGCCTCAATAACATCTGATAATGAACAGAGACATAGGAAGAAACAAGAAAAAAACAAGCACTGTTACTAATGCAATTCCATTCCAAGTTCCAAGACATGCAAAAATGATCTCAGCTCAAACAGCAAAAAATATCCACTAAAGCTAAAAAAAATTAAAAAAAACTTGTCAAACATCATCTTCTTCACTAAAAGCGAAAAGAGCCAGACCTAAACTAAACTGAAATACCCATTACATAAAAATATTATATCTTTGTACAATATCAGCTACCCATTACAGGGAAGGCAGAGAGTTAAACTAAAAGGGTAAAATTAATAGATAAAAACACAACAAAAACTCCTAATCTCTGCTCTAATTCTTTGGTCTTGGTAGCCTACTGTCAACTCAATTTGCCTTCTCAACATGGAGTTTGAACACTGAGTCCAAATCAGGTGGGGTAAAGAACTCCCTCACACCACTGAAGTTACATCTTGAAGGAGGCCGGCTTTTTCTTGGGGCTGGCGGGCATGAAAAAATCTCAGGTATTCTGGCTTCTTTGGCTGTTGGGGTTGTTGAAGATGCGTCTTCTTCTTCTCCAGCTTCGCTTTCTTTAGCTCTCGGTTTCGTGTTTATCGGCTTTAACGAGGTTCGTACTGAGATTCCGGCGATTACCCACTTCTTGCCTTCGGATTCTAGGCCTCCATCCACTTGGGACTTCTTTGAAAAACCCATCTTTTAATTTGACAAAAAGAAAAATTTGCTTTCACTAAAATCAGCCAAAACAGAACAAGCACAGACCAAAGTCCAAACCAAAAGGTGGGATCTTGCTCTAAGAATCAGAACAAAACGAGAACAACGGCAACGAATCGGAATGAAACAACAAAGTGAGGCAAGAAAAATAAAAAGAAAAGATGGGGTTTTGATCTAAGAATCAGAACAAACCAAGAAAACAAGCTAAGAGAATCACAGGGAGAAAGATGGGAAGAAAGAATGAGAGGAAAGGGTCTTTGTTTCTTTTTCTTTGTGAACCAAAGATTTTGAGGCGGCTAGAGAAAGAGAGGGAAATAGGACGGTTTGAGAAAAAGTGTGAAAGCAGGCTTTGAAATTAATGGAGAAAGAAAAGTTTTCTGAGAGAAAATAAATAAGAAAGAGCTTTGCGTGGAGGAATAAGAGGTATATATAAATATATATTGGCGGTGTCCACTGCCAATTTGGCAAAAGTTAAAACAAGCCTAATCAGTGTGGGGATTGAGCAAGAGAGCTGCCCGAAATATTGCGGGCAGCCCAAACCGAGTGAAATGGAATTTGGCGCCAAAACTTGAGGTTTGGTTAGCAACGGCTCTTTTTCCCGCCTTTGGTTTACTTGTCCTTTTACGATTGTACCCTTGTTTCGAATTATTATTTTCTGGGGACTGATGTTGCCAGTCAGGGCACAATCACCGGCTTACAGAACGTTGTCGTTTAAGATTAAATCACCGTACTATTGTCGGGTTCTGCCCATCCTGGGCCTTGGGCCTGGCCCAAAAGTTATTGCCACCTTCAACCTTTGTTGTTGTGTTCAATAAGGCAAGGCCCAGAATAGACCCTTCTACTAGGAACCAACAAATATAATGTACCCACAAAAAAAATTGTAGAATTAAATTTTTAAAAAAGGGTTAATTAAATTTTATATTCTCCAACTTAGGAATGGAATAAATCCCCGTCGGGACCGGAAAACCAACAAATATAATGTATAATTAAATTTGTATTTGAAAAAAATGGATTATTTACATGTACCCTCCAATCTCATCTTTAAAACACCGCATTGTTATACCTAAAGTTATGATTTTATTGCAACTTTAAATTTCTGTCTCATTAGCCGTTTAAATGTTTGTTAAGTGATGACGTGATATGCATAAGAACCATTTTCTTAAAAAAAAATTCCTCCACACGACTCCCTATATCAAGAGAAGAAGCATAGTAAGAAAATAAGGAAATTTGCTGCTAACGAAAATCCCAAAAATTGTTGCAACAGTAACTTGTTTGAGACATCAATAAAAATTCTTGTTTCCTTTATGAAATTAGCAAAGAATTCGAATGCTGGATCTGCCAAAGCCAAACCACATTCACATGAAAACGTAGAGGGTGGAAATCAGTGGCAGGATTTTACTTGAGGTAGATGTGGGGTCCAGTGGGCGGCCAGCCATCTCAGATTCTCAGCCATCCAATGGGAGAGTCGAAATCAAAGCTGACTTGGTGCCACATAAGCCTCTTCTCAGTCTCTCAACAACAAGTCCGTCCTGGGGATCCTTTGGTAGTAGTCAATTCATGTGCGTTGTGGGCCCAACCTGAAACAAGTACAGTTTTTGTTCTTCTTGGACGGTGCTGATCCAACGGCAGCCCTTGGATCATATAAATTGGAATAATAATGCATCATGTTGATCAACTTTATGGGACCTTGGTGAATTGTGACGTGACATTAATTCTTTTTTAGTCCGGTTGAACTTGGACGTATATCCTAGATGGCGACAATAACCGTGGTTTGACCACCGTACTTGAATTATAATTTATCACCAAGCTAAACCACACTTGGGTGGTGGTGATTATAGGTTCTTCTGGGATTGTATCCCCGTTACCATCTGCCGTTGATGAAAGTGAATAGGTAGCTAAACGTTTTCACACTATTTACGCGTGAATAAGCGATTGTTGATAACACTACTCTTATAAGTTTATGCATACTATGCTACTCGGGCCAACAACATGCACCTCTCGAAGCACAAGGACAGACAAATTTATGAATTATTTAATAAATTATTTTATTATTTCAAAGCATTTTAAAGCAAATACATATATAATGCATGGTGCACGCATATTCTGACCATCAAATGCCATCCCAATCAAACGAATTGCTCTATATGAAGTGATAAAATTGTAAAATAAGTGTTATTTTTTTCTCATAATATACGATTGTTTTGTTGAAAAAGTAGAGCCAAGTTGCAATCAGCTTTTGCTTATCCAACTAGGGGCGGCGAGCAACATCAGCAATGCTTTTATTTGGTCGGTTTTTGATGGAGATGGTTGTTGTCTTGTAATTTTATGCTATTGTTTTTCATAAAGCTAGCGTTGGGTGAGAGTAAATCTTACTAGAAATGAACAAAGTGCACATATACTCACAAGAAGTTAGGTATAAAATCTGAATTTCGAGCAATTTTATTTCCACACACAATTATTCTAATCCTCTTGGACGGCTTGGATGGTCATCAGCACAAATCATTTAGGGGAGCATTTTTGCTCACCACTTTATAGGTGTACTCTCACCACCCTCCTCAATGCTTGACACGTGTCCATAGACATAACTATGATTCCATAAATACAAAGCAAAAGTTAACTATGGTTATGTCTATGGACACGTGTCAAGTATTGAGGAGGATGGTGAGGGTACACCTATGATTAAAGTGGTGAGCAAAAATGCACCCAATCATTTAGCTGGATGGTGCGCCAACTTGGCCATGCCAAGACTAAAAAATCCACATCAGCATGATTATAGCTATTATTCCCATTGGATGTTGAGATTCAATGAGATGGTTTCCTGGGACACCTAGCAGCGGGACCCACCCATGCATGCCAACATGGACCGTCATATTTTTAAAATTATTTTCCTCATAATTAAATTTCAGACTGACTGCTTAAATATCAAAATCATGATCGTTGCCTTATCTTGGAGGGAATATAGTCTTTGGACTCATTATAAAAGTAGCCAACTAGAAGCACCTACAGCATGCTTTTCATATTTTCTCTCACTAATTTAATTTAATTACACCATACGTATTCTTCTAAATTATTTATGGATTAGGCCAGTTGATTAGGATAGTGAGTCCGTCTCATTGCACTCAAGTTCAAATATTCTTTCATTGTAAATTAAGTTAAGTAATTTGGACGATATCACTTGATCGTGACCAAACCCAACTCCAGTAAAGTTGAAAGCTAAACTTGATGTCTGCATTTTAACCATCGCAATGATCAGCACTGCAAAACTAATCCGGCAAAAATATTATCTGGAAGAGGAACAAATTATATTAAGCAAATTAAGGAGCTGTAACCCCACATTTTCACATGACAAGTTAATTATATGACAAAAAAGGAATTTTCAAAAAGTCTGGCTGCTGCAATTTTTGCCTAAGAATAATTGGATCTAATTGAATGTGCAGTTTGTGTAAAGCTGCATGAGTCTAGCAGGTCATGTGAGCTATCAATCAATCAATCTGTAGGACCATTGCATTAGTGGCCAACTCATCCATACATTGCATATTAGCATATAAAAAGTGACAATTTTGTCAGTTCCTGTGGCTAGTGCTTTTGCTAATATAAGTATCAACAGATTAATACAGATATCTAATGATAAAAAACACTTAACTCAAAAGCTGCAAAGATAGTCAGCAGCAGCAGCAACAAAGGCAGACATAAAAAGCTTGCTAGCTGCATCCGTGGATTCAATTCAACTTAAAAGCTCCAAAGTTTGAGGTAGCTTTTGGAGTTTGGATCAAAACAAAGTTCCTTCATGCGCCTCAGAATCCACTATCTGCAGATTAATGGCAACAGAAGCTGATATTCCAGAAGCTATATCTGTCACGGTAGGGTATTCTAGAATCTTGATCACTCTAACTCAAATAGCTTACTCTGCTTTTTCTGTAATCTCATGATCTTTGTATGATAGAATTATATCTTATCTTATAATTATGCGTTATAGTATAATTGTTCTCTTTGTGAAATATCAATCACAATCTTGATCATGTATTCTTTTTCCAGCAAAAAAAAACTTTATTAAAGTGGTGAGCAAAAATGCACCCAATCATTTAGCTGGATGGTGCGCCAACTTGGCCATGCCAAGACTAAAAAATCCACATCAGCATGATTATAGCTATTATTCCCATTGGATGTTGAGATTCAATGAGATGGTTTCCTGGGACACCTAGCAGCGGGACCCACCCATGCATGCCAACATGGACCGTCATATTTTTAAAATTATTTTCCTCATAATTAAATTTCAGACTGACTGCTTAAATATCAAAATCATGATCGTTGCCTTATCTTGGAGGGAATATAGTCTTTGGACTCATTATAAAAGTAGCCAACTAGAAGCACCTACAACATGCTTTTCATATTTTCTCTCACTAATTTAATTTAATTACACCATACGTATTCTTCTAAATTATTTATGGATTAGGCCAGTTGATTAGGATAGTGAGTCCGTCTCCTTGCACTCAAGTTCAAATATTCTTTCATTGTAAATTAAGTTAAGTAATTTGGACGATATCACTTGATCGTGACCAAACCCAACTCCAGTAAAGTTGAAAGCTAAACTTGATGTCTGCATTTTAACCATCACAATGATCAGCACTGCAAAACTAATCCGGCAAAAATATTATCTGGAAGAGGAACAAATTATATTAAGCAAATTAAGGAGCTGTAACCCCACATTTTCACATGACAAGTTAATTATATGACAAAAAAGGAATTTTCAAAAAGTCTGGCTGCTGCAATTTTTGCCTAAGAATAATTGGATCTAATTGAATGTGCAGTTTGTGTAAAGCTGCATGAGTCTAGCAGGTCATGTGAGCTATCAATCAATCAATCTGTAGGACCATTGCATTAGTGGCCAACTCATCCATACATTGCATATTAGCATATAAAAAGTGACAATTTTGTCAGTTCCTGTGGCTAGTGCTTTTGCTAATATAAGTATCAACAGATTAATACAGATATCTAATGATAAAAAACACTTAACTCAAAAGCTGCAAAGATAGTCAGCAGCAGCAGCAACAAAGGCAGACATAAAAAGCTTTCTAGCTGCATCCGTGGATTCAATTCAACTTAAAAGCTCCAAAGTTTGAGCTAGCTTTTGGAGTTTGGATAAAAACAAAGTTCCTTCATGCGCCTCAGAATCCACTATCTGCAGATTAATGGCAACAGAAGCTGATATTCCAGAAGCTATATCTGTCACGGTAGGGTATTCTAGAATCTTGATCACTCTAACTCAAATAGCTTACTCTGCTTTTTCTGTAATCTCATGATCTTTGTATGATAGAATTATATCTTATCTTATAATTATGCGTTATAGTATAATTGTTCTCTTTGTGAAATATCAATCACAATCTTGATCATGTATTCTTTTTCCAGCAAAAAAAAACTTTTAACATTTTTTTTTAGCCAGAAACCAATGAGCAGGTAACTATTTTTCAATCCAGAAGCAGTATTAGATGAACGAAGAGGATACTCTCCCTTGTTTTTTCTCCCTCTTTTCTATCCTTCCTCAAAATTGAAATCTTAAGAGCTTAATAAACACAACCCAATTGTTCATTTTTTTTTAGTATACTTAAAAGGGAGAAGTTCAAGAAAGTCTCTTGATTTTGAAAACAAATAAATCCAATTCAAGAGATCCACCACACAGTCAAGAACAATAAAAAAAATCAACCATTAAATTCTTAGACATAACTATGATTCCATAAATACAAAGCAAAAGTTAACTATGGTTATGTCTATGGACACGTGTCAAGTATTGAGGAGGATGGTGAGGGTACACCTATGATTAAAGTGGTGAGCAAAAATGCACCCAATCATTTAGCTGGATGGTGCGCCAACTTGGCCATGCCAAGACTAAAAAATCCACATCAGCATGATTATAGCTATTATTCCCATTGGATGTTGAGATTCAATGAGATGGTTTCCTGGGACACCTAGCAGCGGGACCCACCCATGCATGCCAACATGGACCGTCATATTTTTAAAATTATTTTCCTCATAATTAAATTTCAGACTGACTGCTTAAATATCAAAATCATGATCGTTGCCTTATCTTGGAGGGAATATAGTCTTTGGACTCATTATAAAAGTAGCCAACTAGAAGCACCTACAGCATGCTTTTCATATTTTCTCTCACTAATTTAATTTAATTACACCATACGTATTCTTCTAAATTATTTATGGATTAGGCCAGTTGATTAGGATAGTGAGTCCGTCTCCTTGCACTCAAGTTCAAATATTCTTTCATTGTAAATTAAGTTAAGTAATTGGGAAGGAGAAATTCTGTTTCTAAACCTTTTCATTCTTAAATCTTCTTCGAACATAAGTTTTCTGTAACTTCTCGGGGTTCCCAGAGTTTACAGAAAACTTATGTTTGAAGAAGATTGAAGAACAAAGACTTTCTTGAACTTCTCCCTTTTAAGTATACTAAAAAAAAAATTGAACAATTGGGTTGTGTTTATTAAGCTCTTAAGATTTCAATTTTGAGGAAGGACAGAAAAGAGGGAGAAAAAACAAAGGAGGGGATCCTCTTCGTTCATCTAATACTGCTTATGGATTGAAAAAAGGTGTTCAAGTTTGCAACATACAGACAAGAACAATTCAACGTAACTATTATTGTTATGCTTGAAATTTTGAATTTGATGTTAGAACAATGAATCCGGTACAGCAGATTGCAAGATTCAAACAAGAACAATTCAACGTAACTATTATGGTTATGCTTAAAGCTTGAAAACAAAGGAGGGGATCCTCTTCGTTCATCTAATACTGCTTATGGATTGAAAAAAGGTGTTCAAGTTTGCAACATACAGACGAGAACAATTCAACGTAACTATTATTGTTATGCTTGAAATTTTGAATTTGATGTTAGAACAATGAATCCGGTACAGCAGATTGCAACATACATACAAGAACAATTCAACGTAACTATTATGGTTATGCTTAAAGCTTGATCATTTCTTATTTAGGATTAGTATTATAAAATTTATCTTTTTGATCAAAAGAGATCAAAAGGTTGCTGCCTTTTCAGCTTTATTTCCCTCCAACATATAGTTTTTATCCTCTGTGTATAAGATTATGCACTTGTCTAGATTGTGATCCTTTTGACGATTAGATTTCATAAACACTTCGTTTGCCAAGATAAGAACTGAGCTCCCCAAAAACCAAAGTTCAAATCGTATAGGGTTTAGGAAATAGTTCATGTCTAAGATAGCATACAACTCCCATTTAGACTAGGCTGACGTGTATAGACCAAACTGCTTAGACAAGCTCAAATTTTTATCTACAAAGTACCTAAATAAATTATAGAAAAGGGGTAATGAAAGAAAAGAAACACACCCAAATATGCAAAGTCAAGATATGTATTCTAAAAGAACACTTACGAAAACTAACATTCACCATAAAACATTGAGCTACTTCATCCAAGATTGGCTTCTTAACCTACATTCTGCGCCACGAAAGAAAACGAAATACAACTTCAGTGTGTTCATAAATATAAAAAAGGATACACAATTTTGAGGCTCAAAATGAGTTAAATCGATAACAAGTGATGCTAAATGGTTTTTTGAATTCACAAACCAGGGGAGAGAGAGATACAATAAGCCCATGATAGTTAAAGAACCAGAAGGATGTGTAACCCTATGCTTCTTTTGTTACATTTTGTTATAGAACTCCTAGTTAGAAAAAATGTAACAATTCCTTCTTAATGCAGAAAGAAGGGGAAGGCAGATATTTGACATGCGGGCAGTTCGACATCACGATCAGCCAATGTTCTCCTGTGCAAGTGAATAAATCAGAAGGCGAGTCGGATCAGCATCTGGAAACAGTGAAATGCTTTGCAGAGGGTGAAAACACACAGGTGGGATGTAGTGCGCAGGTTGAAAGCAAGAACAGCAGCTTTGGAATCTCAGAGGGAGTGAGTTTTTTAGCATCACTCTCAGATTCTAAGGTTGACAAACAAGAGACTTGCGTATCGGAGAATTCCCAAGGTGATGAATCAAATCAAGCAGAAATGGAGATTTTAGACAAGGAAGACCAGCTTCTGAGAGGCAAAGAGTTTGGAGTTGTAGAAGAAACAGGAAGTAAAGAAAAAGAAGTCGTGGAAGAAATAGACAAAAAGGCTGAACAACATATTGAAAGTCATGGCATTGCCAATGACCTTGATGAACATGTTCAAGTAATCTCAGATCAACAGGATTCAATCAATGAAAATCCACAATGTGTTGAAAAGGAGGCAAAGAGTTCACATGAAGATGTGAAAGGAAGGCAAATGGCAGATGAAATTGCTGATTCATCCAGTGAAAAAGTTTCCGTTCTACTTGAGGAACGCTCATTTCAAGAGGATGAAGCTGCAGTTCGTACTCTCGATTTGACGAACAACAGCTTCAAGAAGGATATTAAGCCAGAGACTTCAATTGATGAAAACACAGACAATACCTCCAGTACCAATACCATATTTCAAGAAGAATTTGAGGAAGAAACAGGAATCAAAGGACTAAAGAACAAGGCACCAGAGAAGTCCTTTGATGCAGTGTATGAGGACAAGGGTCCTGAAGCAACTGTGTTTAACAATGATAAAAGTACAGATGATGACTCCAGCTCAACAATAGTTGCAGGTCCTGACATTCCGAATGATGAAGCAACCTTGGAAGCTAAAGAGTGTGCTGAGGACAAGCTACAAAAGACATCTATCACAGATGATCATGAGGAAAAAGCTGGACTTGAAGTGGGGAAGAAGGAAAATGAGGCCCCAGCTATCCCAGACGCTCCACTTATCACACAAACAGAAGAGACACACTTGAAGGAAGTAGGAAATCCTGATATATTCGAAGTATATCCTGAAATCGGGTCAGAAGACATCATCAAGGAGAGTCCAAAAGAACCTGAGTACCAAAACGAATTCCTTGAGAAAACTCCCGAAGCCGGTGACACTGCAAGTGAAACAGTTAAAGATGATGAAAGTTCAGAACGACATTTTGGCAGTCCATGCATGAAACATGAGGGAAATACACTGAGAAAAGGTGAGGAACTGGATGTGGGAGAGGCTAAAGCAGGGGAGGAGGAAGATAGCCAAGGATTTGCTGCTGTAGGACCTATCCAGGAAACAGAGCAGAGCAATATGAATTCAGCAGAACACGAAGGAGAAACTGAGACTAACTTAGTTGAGCAAATTCAATCTGCACACTACGATATTGAAAGACCCTTGAATTTAAATTCTGAGGAGAATAACACAGAAACTTTGAGAGAAAATACCAAAACAATTACCACTGATGAAGCAGAGAGACAAGTTATAAACCTTGAACAAAGCTTCCGGAAAGAAGGGGAGGAAGATACAGCAATTCCTAGTTATGAAATCACTGAAGATGAAATTCCTGAAGAAAAGGTAACTGAAATACCTACTTGAACCCCCTTTTATTGGAACTCAAAAGTTTTTGAAATCTCTTGATTATAAAATTCTGTTAATAATATATCTCCGACCTTTTTCAATGATTCTTTTATCCAATACTTGGTTCATGTTATTTTCTTTGCAGAATCTCCTAGTGATAATATAATTCAAAGATATCTTTATGCAGGTTCTTAAAGAACCAGAGATTTCTGGAGGAGGTGAGAGCACCACATGGGAGCTAAATAAGAATATCGAAATACCTGAAAATATTCTTAATACGTCAACAGTGAAATGTGAAGAAGGTGAGCAGGGAGAAGGTAAGAACACAGCTCCAACAAAAGCTACAGAAGAGGATCACAGAGATGAGGACCCATTTACTGTCGAAGTGGCTGAAGAAGATCATGACTATAACAGTGCAATCTCGGTTACAGAAACGAGTGCAAAAGTAACATCAAATGATGAAGAAGATGCACCACAGGCCTTGCAGAAATATGAACCAGGAGGGGAGCTTCAAAATGTGCTGGATGTGATGCCTGAGGAAATTAAGACAGAAACATCCAGGGAAAGTGCAGAAGTAATTACCTGCAGAAAAGAGGAAAGAACAATTCAGAACTCACAAGAATCCTCAGACAAAGAAAAGAAAGAAGATATAGAAAGCACAAGTAATACAGAAGAAAATGACACTGCAGTGGTGGAGGTAAGATTAGGATACACTTTGTTATGAGTTTTTCTTTCTGGCTTGTCATGTGATGCGTAATCTCCCATCACCCCATAAAAACTTTGTTATGAGTTCTTTTTTCCCCCCATTTTAGGAATGTACTGAGGCAGCTGATTTGAGTACAATTATAGAGGAAAAGAACTTAGAGGAGCAGGAAATTCAGAAACTCTCTTCTCCATTGGTAGTAGAAGAAACAACTAAGGAAATCTCAGAGGAAGAAGAAATCTATGGAGTAATACTAAAAGAAGAGGTCAGCTTGCATACAATATCAGAATTTTTATTTTCTTTAGATGATTTCATTATACTATTATTTTACAAATGCCAATTCGCAAATTCATATCCCTAACAGAGAAAGGAAGCACATGCAAAATGTAACGAGCCAGCTGAGGGAGCAAATCTGACACAAGACTTAAAATCTGAAACTACAGAAGACAGAACAGAGACAGATAAGGACTTCTATTCTCCAATTTCAGAGGGAGAAACCCAAGCAGAAGAAAGCAAGAAAACATTTGTTCCAAACAATTCCTTTCTCTCTGATGTACCCGAGACAGAGATCGAAAAACATTTTCAGGTGAACGATGTGCCTACAGTTAGCAATTTTGATTCGTTGTCCGAAATAGTGAGTCAAGTGACAGGCTTGGAGGAAGCTGAAACAGAGAACCAGGAGCAGGTAAAAAAGAATGATATTGCTCCTGAAGAGAAGGTTCTACCAACCATCTTCACCAGTGAAACGGCCTTGGCCACTGAAAAGATTGATGTACAAGAAGAGGAAAATTTCAATTCAAAAGAGAAGTGGGAGAACCAGATTCCAACAACAGCAGATAAACCTGAAACATGCTTGAAAGAAGCTGAAGCAGAAAATAAGGAGCATGTCCAAAATATTGATCCTGAAGAGAAGGGTGCAGAAACCATCTTAACAGATAAAACAGCCTTGGACATTGAAGATATTGCTGTACAAGCAGGGGAAAATTTCAATTCAAAAGAGAACTTGGAGGAACAGATTCCAACAGCAGCAGATGAAGGTGAAACATTCTGGAAGGACGCTGAACCAGAAAACAAGGAGGAGATCAAACATACTGACATTGCTTCTGAAGAGAAGGGTCTAGAAATCATCTTAACGGATGAAACGGCCTTGAACATTGAAGACATTAATGTACAAGCAGAGGAAAATTTGAATTCAAAAGACAACTTGGAGAAGCAGATTCCAACATCAGCAGAAGAAGGTGAAACATTCTCGAATGAAGCAGAAGCAGAAAACAAGGAGGAGATCAAACATACTGATATTGCTCCGGAAGAGAAGGGTCTAGAAACCATCTTAACGGATGAAACGGCCTTGGACATTGAAGACATTTATGTCCAAGCAGAGGAAAATTTCAATTCAAAAGAGAACTTGGAGGAGCAGATTCCAACAGCAGCAGATGAAGGTGCAACATTCTGGAAGGAAGTCGAAGCAGAAAACAAGGAGGAGATCAAACATACTGATATTGCTTCTGAAGAGAAGGGTCTAGAAACCATCTTAACGGATGAAACGGCCTTGGACATTGAAGACATTAATGTACAAGCAGAGGAAAATTTGAATTCAAAAGACAACTTGGAGGAGCAGATTCCAACATCAGCAGATGAAGGTGAAACATTCTCGAATGAAGCAGAAGCAGAAAACAAGGAGGGGATCAAACATACTGATATTGCTCTGGACGAGAAGGGTCTAGAAACAATCTTAACCGATGAAACGGCCTTGGACATTGAAGACATTTATGTACAAGCAGAGGAAAATTTCAATTCAAAAGACTACTTGAAGGAGCAGATTCCAACAACAGCAGATGAACATGAAACATGCTTGAAAGAAGCCCAAGCAGAAAATACGGAGCAGGTCAAAAATACTGATATTATTCCTGAGGAGAAGGGTTCAGTAACCATCTCAACAGATGGAACATCCTTGGACATTGAAGATATTTATGTACAAGCAGAGGAAACTTTCAACGCAAACGAGAACTTGGAGGAGCAGATTCCAAAAGCAGCGGATGAAGGTGAAACGTTATTGAAGGAAGCTGAAGCCGAAAATGAGGAGCAGGCCAAAAATATTGATATTGCTCATGAAGAGAAGGGTCTGCCAACCATCTTAACAGATGAAACGGCCTTGGACATTGAAGATAATGATGTACAGGCAGAGGAAAATTTTAATTTAAAAGAGAACTTGGGGAAAGAGATTCAAACAACAGCAGATGAACGTGAAACATGCTTGAAAGAAGCCGAAGCAGAAAATCAGGAGCAGGTCAAAACTACTGATATAGTTCCAGAAGAGAAGGGTCTAGCAACAATCTTAACAGATGAAACATCCTTGGACGTTGAAGATTTTGATGTACAAGCAGAGCAAAACTTCAAATCAAAAGAGAACTTGGATGAGCAGATTCCAACAGCGGCAAATGAAGGCGAAACATGCTTGAAGGAAGCCGAATCAGAAAACAAGGAGCAGACAAAAGATATCAATATTGCTCCAGAAGAGAAGGGTCTAGCAACCATCTTAACAGATGAAACGGCATCGGAAATTGAAGATAGTGATGCACAAGCAGAGGAAAATTTCAGCTCAAAAGAGAACTTAGAGAAGCAGATTCCAACAGCAGCAGATGAAGTTGAAACATGCTTGAAAGAAGCCAAAGCAGAAAATAAGGAGCAGGTCAAAGATACTGATATTGTTCATGAGGAGAAAGGTCTAGCGACCGTCTTAACAGATGACACATCCTTGGACGTTGAAGATATTGATGTACAATCAGAGCAAAATTTCAACTCAAAAGAGAACTTGGAGGAGCAGATTCCAACAGTTGCAGATGCAGATAAAACATGCTTTAAGGATGCCGAAATAGAAAACAAGGAGCAGACAAAAACTACTGATATTGCTCCAGAAGAGAAGGGTCTAGCAACCATCTCAACAGTTGAAACGGCCTTGGACATTGAAGATATTGATGTAAAAGCAGAGGAAAATTTCAACTCTGCAGAGATTTTAGAGAGGCAGATTCCAACAGCAGCAAATGAAGGAGAAACATGCTTGAAGGAAGCCGAATCAGAAAACAAGGAGCGGACAAAAGATATCGATATTGCTCCAGAAGAGAAGGGTCTAGCAACCATCTTAACAGATGAAATGGCATCGGAAATTGAAGATAGTGATGTACAAGCAGAGGAAAATTTTAACTCAAAAGAGAACTTAGAGAAGCAGATTCCAACAGCAGCAGATGAAGTTGAAACATGCTTGAAAGAAGCCAAAGCAGAAAATAAGGAGCAGGTCAAAGATGTTGATATTGTTCATGAGGAGAAAGGTCTAGCAACCGTCTTAATAGATGACACATCCTTGGACGTTGAAGATTTTGATGTACAAGCAGAGCAAAATTTCAACTCAAAAGAGAACTTGGAGGAGCAGATTCCAACAGCAGCAGATGAAGATAAAACATGCTTTAAGGATGCCGAAACAGAAAACAAGGAGCAGACAAAAACTACTGATATTTCTCTAGAAGAGAAGGGTCTAGCAACCATCTCAACAGTTGAAACGACCTTGGACATTGAAGATATTGATGTAAAAGCAGAGGAAAATTTCAACTCTACAGAGATTTTAGAGAAGCAGATTACAACAGCAGCAGATGAAGGTGAAACAGGCTTGAAGGACGCTGAAGCAGAAAAAAATGATATTGCTCCTGAAGAGAAGGTTCCAGCAACCATCTTAACAGATGAGACATCGTTGGATGTTGAAGATATTGATGTACAAGCAGAGCAAAATTTCAACTCAAAAGAGAACTTGGAGGAGCATATTCCAACAGCAGCAGATGAAGATGAAACATGCTTGAAAGAAGCCAAAGAAGAAAAAGAGAACTTGGAGGAGCAGATTCCAACAGCAGCAGATGAAGATAAAACATGCTTTAAGGATGCCGAAACAGAAAACAAGGAGCAGACAAAAACTACTGATATTTCTCTAGAAGAGAAGGGTCTAGCAACCATCTCAACAGTTGAAACGATCTTGGACATTGAAGATATTGATGTAAAAGCAGAGGAAAATTTCAACTCTGCAGAGATTTTAGAGAGGCAGATTCCAACAGCAGCAAATGAAGGAGAAACATGCTTGAAGGAAGCCGAATCAGAAAACAAGGAGCGGACAAAAGATATCAATATTGCTCCAGAAGAGAAGGGTCTAGCAACCATCTTAACAGATGAAATGGCATCGGAAATTGAAGATAGTGATGTACAAGCAGAGGAAAATTTTAACTCAAAAGAGAACTTAGAGAAGCAGATTCCAACAGCAGCAGATGAAGTTGAAACATGCTTGAAAGAAGCCAAAGCAGAAAATAAGGAGCAGGTCAAAGAT